AGAGCATTCAATGGAGTTTTCTACTAACAAGGTTTGTTTGTACAAAGTATGATTATCCTATCACATGTAGATGTTGAAGCGATCAAAGATGAAGAGAAAAGTAAGCCGACTTAATTTACGAATGATATCTACTTAATTTGATGTTTTCATACCATGCATATACATTACATGATAGTAACATTTACAAGCATATTACATATTTCCTTATCTAAACATCACATATGCTTCATTCAAATAACGCGGTTGTCATTTCAAATTAAAGAATCACACATGCTTCATCCAGAGAACTCATTTGTCATCTCAAATCATTTGATATGTTTTTCATGGATCTAAATGGGCAAGCAATGAACATCAATTTATGCTTGCAAAATTATTTTAAGGCAGAAATCCAAAAGCGTTACAGACAAAATGATTATGTAATTAGAATAAAGTCTGCTTACACTGATGTGCATCTAAAAAACTCTCAATCAATATTGTGTCAAACTTTCATATGGTGTTGAATCTGAAGTGCTCTATGCATCAAGTTATAATGCTCAGAAACATCAAATCTAACAATGTATTATTTCTAGATTAGAAATTTATTATTTTCATAGATTTCTAGACATCTGTGCTCCACAGTTGAATCCAAAAGGCTTAGAGACAGGATGATTGTGCAAATGAAAAGAAATCAACTTACATTGATTTGAGTCTGAGAGACGCTTCATTAATGTTGTGTCATCTTCGCAATATTGTTGAGTCCGAAGATGCATATGCATCAAGTCATATTGCTCCAAAACATCAAATCCAACAATGTAATTTATACCCTTGTGATTTATATACAAATCACAAGGGTATGAGAAGCATTAGTCAAGAGTAGGCGTAACAGGTACAACGTGATTAAAATTCTCCTAGCTCCTCTTGTGGATGATGAAAGAACATGACAGGTGAGCTACGACATAGAAGACATATTTGGTGTAGTCAATGGAGAAGTATGACAATACTTTTGCTGGACATGGTGGCATTCTAGAACGCACGAGTCGATGTGTTTGTCAATGCAAAGAGGATTGTGCTCTACGGCCTCATGTATGCAATCACCAAGGATGCCAAAGGTATTTTTGACAACACCTTGGATTTGATCATGTGCAATTGAAGAGTAATGATTTAAGATGCAAACTACCAAGTGATGATGCTCATTCTAAATGACGCGGAGCTGACTTCCTCGCTCGTCATAAGTTTGCAGCAATGTGATCGTTTGAGTATCATCTGCAAGTCACCATTCTGCTGTAGTTGGCCAAGATCAGCACACTCTATAACCTCAACGGTAACGCTATGTCGGGTTTTGAACGGGTTTCTGTTCTGTAGCTCAGACGAATCGGCGGCATGCACTTTATTAATATGTCGGGCAATGCGCTCTCAGACTCAACTTACGACCAAGCTCTTGTCAAATCATCAAAACATCAAAAGCTCTTGCTCCTTCAAAACATCAAATTCAAAGACCTTAAGTCTTTATATACAAGTTGCTACATGTGAGTATCTATAAAGTGAAAGTCAAGCAAGATACAATAAATAATTACATCACCATGTTGAAATAACTAAAATCTACTTTTTTATAAAAAAACGTGGATATTTCAAATTTAATCACTTGGAGCAATGAAATTTTGATAGTTAATCGCTTCCCAATACTTCCTAGCCATTATCCGTTGTGGTAAATAGTTGAGACTAATGATATGCTCAATTTCCACACACAAAAATTAACAACCTTGCGAAATTTGATATGAGTTTATTTAAGTGTGATTGACAAAATTTTTCCGTTCTTAAGTATTTTTACAATTTGTTGAGATAGTCTACACTCTTTACTTCAATCATTGTCACTAACCTGCAACTCAACGCAATTCAAATTTTGTAATGATAATTAATTATGTTCTAATATCAATTGTGATAGTAAACAAGAAAAAATCATTAACAGCAATGAAGACAATAACAACATAAAAAAGTTAAATAATTCAGGTTTTGATATCCATATATCCAAAACTTGGGTTAAACTAATATTAAATTAGATATCTTATAATAAAATGTGATAAATTATAAAATTACAAAAATTTGAATCTATTGAAAGTAAAAAAACAAAGGAACGATTTTACTATTTCCTATGATTTTTAATCATCCTATTAATTATATTTGAATACATAACAAGACTAAATTCAAAAATTATTAATTAATGTTGTAAGCATAAGAAAAAAGCATATTTCCAATCAATGAAACAAATTTAATGAAATATATGTTAACTACAATATTTTGGAAATATACATAATAAATCTCCTCTCATAATGTTATTGATGAGAATAGATATTTGAAAAGCTTGATAGATTGATAAAGTTCTTCTTTAACATATAAATTTTAAATAAATATACTGAAATAATCAAAGTATTTGACATATATCCTTGAAACTTAAAAAACTAAAATTGAAAAACAAAAAGACTAGCAAACAAGATCACACTCATATCAATCATCTTGTTGTAAATTTTAAAATATTTAAAAATCATTTTAAATTATTTTATTTTATTTATTGCTTGAGTTTCCTTTTTATAATTTATAGTCTTTATCAAAAATATATATTATAATAGTAAAAAATAATCACTTAAAATAAAATAATGGAGAATTAATTTTGATCAAATATTATCAAATGTTAGAAAAATCTTTCAGCTATTGATTTACTCAAGCACAACATTTTGAACTCTAAAATATATCCAAAGCATAAAAGTTATGGAAATTTACAGAAAAATGTAAATTTTATATCTTGATCATTAAGAAAAATTTGAAAGTTGATAATCAATCTCATAGAAAATTTTTGATTTGAAATTGGTTTAAAAATGTAAGAAATAACCGAAAATAAACTTTATTTCATGAAAATTATTTTTTGTTGAATAAAATTTATTATTCTGAATGAATTTTATAATTTATCAAATATTTATTATTTTTTAATAATCAAAAATAAAAATTCAAATAATTATTCAATTTTTATAAAAAAAATTACTTACATTAATCTTCACAATGGCAGTCAAAAAACTATTTATATATAGCAATAAACTTTTCAAATTGAGAAAGTGTAAGAGCATGAGAAGATTGATAAACCTTCACATTTATCATCAAATAAGTATGAAAAGAAACATCAATGGTTAGAAAATTTAATTTAAACATTGTGATATTATTATATCATAAGTCACTCAAAAATACCTTACATCAATAGAGGTGGAAAAAGTCCAATGCACTTTTTTTAAAAAAAAATTTCAGAAATCTTTTCAATATGTATAAAATGTGTACATTTAAGTTCAAAAAAATTGTTAATACAGTTTCTCAAAAATCTTCAAACCTTAAATATTTCTTGTTTGGAAATTTTTAATAACTATATTTTATCAATAAATCCATTTATTTTTGCACAATCATTTTTTTATGGATATAAAAGATACACATATATTGTCAAAAAATCATTACTTTTTGGCATTGTATATATTGATGTGAAATGTATATGCACAAGAGAGATGACCAGGTATTCAAGGAAATTCAGTCAAATATCAGATTTGACATGCAGAACTTTTGAATTAAAAAATGAACGATTTGTTATTTTATCAAAATTAAACATGCAGAAAGAGTTTATTGATATTCAAACCAAAAAGACATTTTGTAAAGCCCTCTACAAACATCATAACAAACACACATCTAAATCGTTAAATACAGCCATATCTGTTATTTTGATATCATGCATTGAAATCAATGATTATGAAATATTTTTCTACATACAAGATATTATGAAATGTAACGTATGTTTTCAGCTCTCTTATAATGAGTCTAATGGGGTATTCGAACGAAGTACATCTTGATGTTCATATTTCAGGAAGGCAATATAAAGTAATGCATACATTCAACAAAGGAGGGGCTAGTTATCAAAGTTAATTAGCCTTCACTCTACTATATGTTCTTATCTTGTCGAACACCCTATAGTTAATATTGCATCGTTGCTACCCTCCATAGAACAATAAGAGAATTGATTTTAGTAGAGTGATGATTAATTAGTCCCAAATGAGAGATAACTAGCCGCTCCCATTCAACAATCCAAATATATATCATCCAGTGGAAGTATCTGGAGGATGTATTCCTATTATATGACTAAGTCATTAGCTTTATGACCAAGAAAAGTTTTAATCATAAGAAGAGAATAAATGAGTGAAAATTTATCTGTCAAAGAGTTTTAGTAATGTTCAAGAATTAAATATTCTCTTTAGATTCCGTGACTGTAGATTTCATTTCTCAATTCTGCAAATTACACTCGGTATGATACCCAATGAGTTTTATCCATTTATTTCTATTTTCAATGGTATACCAATTTTGGTATATAAATTGAAAGTTAATCATAAACATTCACAAGGTTAATTGTATGAAAAAAATGTCAACAAATCTGACCGTAGAAAATAATTGATATATAAAGGATTGAAACATCAAAGAATATGTTCCAGAAAACTCTAATCTTCAAATGGTCTATTGTCAAGTGCGAAGGGAAAAGAACAGAAATCACAACACATAATCGAACAACTTATAACAAAAACTTTTCATTCAAGAAATAAACCACCACAGTGCAACGTCTGCGCAAACGAGAAACTGCTGAATCACAGTCTGAACAGAAAAAACATTGCTTACAAACTTGCAAAAAATAGATGAATCTTAAAAATTCACGTCCATGTTCTATTTCAAATTCTTTATTTATATATTTCGGCAGATTTCTTGGCCTGCGAATAATTTTTTGGAAGTGTGTCCGCGCACCTTCTCTTCTATGCGGCAGCGACTCATTGCGGTCAAGTTTCAGTTATGCGTTGACAAGTCTGTTCCATTAATTTTGAGAAGCAACTGGAATGGAGGAAGACAAGGGTTCAAGTAGATTCTTGTTTGGCACTTCCTGGAAAAACTGCATTGCACACCTGGTGACACAGAATATCAGTGCGCTGACAACCTTTTGAATCGAAGGCATAATAGAGGGAGTGAGTGAAATATGGAATCCTTCTGGGCATCAAATTTCTGGTATTGCAAGCGTGTTGCGACACGGATTCATCGATTAAGAATTTGCCTCTTCAGCTGATACATCAGCAAGAATCTGTTCGTTTGCTTCGATACATAATCCGGGGTCAAGACCACCCCCGGTTCTGGTCATAATTCAGCTATGCTGCCACCAGAACCTTCTGACGTATATTGCAGCTGAAGTTGTCCGAGTCGGTCGAGCCAAGCGCACTCTGCGTACGGAGGAAGGTATTCGGCCACAAAGCAGGCTAGTGATAGCAGAGGGAGTCCTACTTCAGTGGGAAATTCGTGTGAAATGATTTGGACAAAGAGAGATTGTCTGCGGAGTCCATTGACGGAGCAACTAAGAGCCGCTTGCAGATAGAAATTACGTAATCGGAATGTGCCAGCAACAGCCTAAGCTGTCAATCTCCAACGCTTGCCAGAAATGTGTGAAAAAGAGGCAACGGATGGCTTCCGCCGAAACAGACGAATCTATTTTCTTCGCACGAGGTCGAGATCATAATTTTTCTGCAATCGTCTTGACCGCATCTGCCAAGGCTACTAACACCTGCGCGAGAGTGGCTGTGTCTTTGGTCTTGGTGTCCAGCTCTCCCGATGGCTGACGTTCGTTCCGTTCCAAAACCTTCATGAAGCATTCAACCAATTCTTTGGACCCATCTTTCATCGCATGCACGAAGTCGTCCAGCACCACGGGATTCTCCAGGCCGATGGGTGGCTTGTCCTGTCCAACCTTCTTCCTCCTCCTTCGTTTACCACTGGAATCCGTGTCCATGGACTCCATGTCATTGGCCTCACTACTACCCACCTTCACGGTCGAATCATAATGCCACTTCAATATGAGCAAACTCGACTCGACACAAAGAGAGAATTGCAATGGCTCGAGCTAATTCGGAAACTCTCTACATTCGTTTCTCACAGGCTGAGGTGAGGTGAGGTGAGGGTCTGGGTGTTGTATCATCTTGTTAGATTATTAGACGACGTGATGATTGCTTGAACGAGAATCTGATGCGGACTCCAAACGGGAAGTCGGATAGTGGAGGGATGGGGAGCGGACAGAATGTGCCCACCTTGTCTTTGGTCGCCAAGGTGCCTACGGGAAGAGAATTTCCTACATTCGGTTGCTTGAAACTGTCTCGTTCAATCTTCCGGCGGGCTTTGTCTTTCTTCTCTTCTTTCTCGTTCTGAATGGCGTGCAAACTGTAAAACACAACTTCGTCCATCTGCGGAGGAAGGCTGGCGTCCTTGCGCTCCTTGTTGGTCATCTCTTTGAAGTAGTTCTTGCCCGTGGGATTCATGATGTACTGCCACTCGCGCACAGCCTTGTAGTCTTTCATCATGTTCTCCCACTTGTCCTGACACTGGCTGCCGCTTCTGCCCATGTCCTTGGTCTCCATGTGCGTGGCAACAATCCTCCACTTCTCAGCTGCGGGGAGTTTCACGCCTTGGAGCTTGTACATCTGGCATCGCTCTCGCTCCTCCTTCTTCGCGTCGATCAGCGTCAGCATCTCGGACACGGTCCATGGCGCACTGCGGCTGCGCTTCTTGTTGTTGGATTGGGTCCGGGCTCCTCCCGGGCCTCCGTTGCAATCGGAAGTGGCGGGAGTTGGGAACGCGCTCGGGGTATGGGGGCAGGCGGAGAGATTCAGCGTGGCCACCTCTTGGGTGGGATCCGACGCCTCTCCGTTCTCGCCCTCCATGTCTGCATCCGAGCCTGGATTACAACAATCCAGTTCCCATTCTAGTTCTTCGCCACCTGAAATTTTGGAAGCCTCGCCTCGCCTGCGCTCTACGGCGCGCAACGTGTTGGGGTGGCGACGCAACCACTCGATGCCCTCACTCCGCACCGCATTCAACTCCACCGCCTCCGCCTCCTCCTCAATCCCATCCCAATCCACGCCGCTCAGCTGAGATCGCCCCCGCCCGCCGTCTCACATCCGCCTCACAATCCCTCCCTCCGCATCCGTGAGCGCGCGGCTGCACATTCCGACCCACTCGCAACACTCCGCCGCCGACAGCCGAGAGCAGGAGCCTCGCCCTACAGCATTCTTGCGCCCCCGCTGCTCTCTTCTGCTCCCTGCTACCATCGAATCTTCGCCCTGAAGGCGGTGCCAATTTCGCCTGACTTCCTTCCCGGACCCCGCAATCAGAGATCGCCAGGCACAACTCTGAGCTCACTCTTCCGATCGTCCATTCGCTGCTGCGTGCATTCGCGGTCGTGCCCTCGGGGCGAGGGTGAAGAGCAGATTGAGCACGAGCACGAGCACGAGGAGGCCTCGCGAGCGCAGACGAGAATAGAGAAAGCCGGGCCCCTTCGCGATGCAGTAGAAGGGGGACGACATCGGTTAGTCAGTAACTGCCGGGCGGACTTGTCCTGCCGCGCTGACGGACCCCGGTCGCTTGTCAGTTACGAGCCGGGCCTCGCTCTCCCTAATCTTGGGCCGTTCTGCTGTTCTCTGCTAACCCCGCGGCCCCAGTCCCGGCCCTCCAGCGTCCGTCCTTAAGTTTCGAGCCGCCCCCAAGCGACGCTGCGTCCCTCCAATCTGGACCGGGTCCTCGTCCTCGTCCTCGGCCTCAGCCTGGCTCGGGACATCTGATGAATGCGACGTCGTTGTAGGTCTCCTCCGTTTCGTTGCTCGAATCTCACCCTCGATTCGGAGGCCTTCGGGATGAGTGCCATTCGCTCCGGCCGGATCCGACAGCAGTTCCACGGATCGCGTGCCATGTCCATCGGCCTCGAGACGAGCACTCTCTGCAGTCTGCAGAAGGCGAGAACAGAGAGAGAAAAAGGCTTCGGACGACTTCTCGGCCTCAGAATCAGAACGAGGCGCACATGAATCGGATCTGCATTCTTCCGATGTCGTCTCTACAGCATAAGCGGCATTTTTTTCCATGGTACAATGTGGAGCTCGTTGTGCTTAGAGTGCCAAGAGATTCGCATCGGTAAACTGTCGATAAATATGATTTCCGTGTGAGCATGCTCGTGCCTGGATCGGCGAACGACAGCTGCTGACTCGGGAGCGGCGATGCTGACCTGGCAGGCCCCGTGGCAGAGCTTGCGGGCTCTCTCTCTGCTCTCGGAGCTTCGTGTGCTTCCCCAGATTCTCTCGTCGCCAAACCGACCGCTCGTTCGTGCCAAAGCGACAAGCGCAGGCGGGATAAGAAACCTGCGCCCCGCAGATTCGACCCGACGGCAATCAATTTGGGATCACGCTCGCGATTGTGCCGTCGATAGATGGCTGGAATGTAAAGAGGCAGTCTCGCTTCGGAGAGATCGAAATCCGTCGAGCCGTGCTCTCCAGCGCCACATGCACCGAGAACGAGGTTGAGCGAGGACGATCGGCAGAGCAGAGCAGAGCAGGGCAGGGCAGAGATGGCGTGGATTTCGCCCTCCGCGTACGCTCTGGCCAGCTCGCAGTTCCACCGGCCCACTCCGCCCTCCACTTTCCTGCCTCGCCTTCCTCTGATTCTACGCCATGCGAGGAGTGCAGCTGTCGAGGAGGGGAAATCGAGCCCGAGGCCCCGAGGCTGTTCTGCATCGTTGTGTGCACCGGGCGGTGTGGCAGAGCATCGACTATTATTCGGGCGGGAGTGCGGATTGAAATCGAGAATCGGAGGTAGTTCTCTGCGTAGAGCGCACTCCGATCGATCTGTCGATGGCGGGCCGCGGCAGCTGCACAATGTGCGTCGGCTGAGGATTTCGGCCGTGCAGAGCGTCATCGGGCCCCAATGCGGGCGCACTTTGTTCATGATCCTGGCAGCGTGTGGAGCCATCGGGCAGCTGCTGGAGGAGAGAACGACATGGGGCGGTCGACTGTCGGCACCGCTCCTGGCGATGGGCACCGCAATGCTCCTCTCTGCGACGGGCGTCATCCCTTGCGCTTGCCCGGCGTACGACATGGTGTTCTCGACCATTTTGCCTCTGGCAGCTGCGCTGACGCTGCTGGAGACGGACGTCTGGCAAGCCTTCGGTGACGCCGGCGCAACTCTCAAGGCTTTCGCGTTCGGGGCTCTCGGAACCGTGCTCGGCACTTTCATCTCGTTCAAAATCATCGGACGATTTCTCGGAGCTGATGGTTGGAAAATTGCCTCGTGCCTGTGCGCGAGCTATGTCGGAGGGTCCATCAACTACGCCGCGACTGCGCAGACTCTCGGCCTCACTTCCGGGAGCATGCTGGCTGCAGGAATGGCGGCCGATAACTTATGTATGGCCTTGTACTTCGGTTGCATAATGTCAATTCCCGACGACTCCGTGGCCGATGTCCAGAAAGATGGCACGGATGCGAGCTCAGGTCTTCAAAAAGATGGCCCTGCCAGTCCGACTGTCGAATCCATCGCCGTTTCCCTCGCGGTTGCTGCAGCCGCTTGCTCAGCTGGTGATGCGCTCGCTGGATTTTTGCCATCGGACTTCGAAGGCTCTGGATTGGCTCTCATGGCCGTGGTGGCATCGATCTGCAACGCCCTAGCTGGAAAGTTCTGCGGTGCGACTCGTGGTGGAAACATCCCTCTGTTTGCAGGAGCTCAAAATATGGGGCAGTCCCTGATGCTCCTGTTCTTTGCGGTGGTGGGAGCCTCGACCGGAGTGAAGCAAGCCATGGCCGGAGGTTGGCCTCTCATCAGCTTCATCACTGTCCTCGTGTCCGTGCATCTTGCTACGATTTTGCTGCTCGGAAAGCTCGCCAAAATCCCGATGCGCTCGATTTTGGTCGCCTCGAACGCCAACATTGGAGGTCCTGGCACGGCTGCTGCCATGGCCAACTCTCGCTCTTGGCCGGGTCTGGTTCGACCAGCCTTGTTGGTGGGCACTCTGGGCTACACCATCGGCACTGCCATTGGAGTCCTTCTCGGGGTGCATGCACTTCAACCCATGCTCAAAACGTTTCCACTGATTATCTAGTGCCATGGCTTTCGAGCATCATGTACATACTCTGGCTCCGAGAGCTCATCTCGCTGTACAGCTCAGTGAAAGCTGAGTGCCACCCACAAGAGGGTTGCTGCTGAGAGATTGTATCATTCTTACTTATAGACGGCAATATGTACTATAGTTGTTCTTAACGTGATGTCGGATATGAGACATTACCTAAACCCGAAATTTAACAAACACTGTTCAAGTGCATACGTCTCGTGACATTGTGTAGTACCTCGGACTGATGTCCTCATGTTTCGGCAGTCAATCGCACGAACGTTCGCACCCAGCCTCAAGTTTTGGCGTTCAGCATGCAGTAACAAACCAACAGACTCATATGATGTTGTGGACTCTCGTGCAGCATGTGACTCGAGTCCAGGATTGCATATCCATTCAGATTTTCAACTACATTGTTTTCTCATCAGCTGGTGGGTACACACATGGACGGGCTAACAACTTCACTTTCATGTTCGCTCCCCCTACAGAGGAGCCCCTGTAGCCAGAGGATAACATCTTCGTATTTGCCCTTCGGTAGATTGCTCCTCAACGCCAGCCATTTTGCTGGAACGCCGTGAGTGCATATAAGGTTGTCACAGCGGAAGTTTGTTGCGCTTGCTGTGACCCTATCTACATCTCAAGTCCTTTGTGGTTGATAGAGCTGGAGAAGATATTCATTCCGTGGAAACGGAACGTGAGCCAGACTGAAAGATTTACTTCTCAGTGGAAAGTTATCTGTCCATCATATCGTAATACAGGATTCTTGAAATCCGACGCAATCTGAAACATACACGAAGAGCAGACGAGATCGGGTTCGAGAAACTCTTGAAACCAGTGCAGATTGGTTATACAGCTGAAGATGAAGAGGCAGAATCAAACATATGGTTCGGATACTGTTTCGATATCAAAAAGAATCGCAAAAATTTCATCCTCGGCATTGAACCGCGGACTTAAGGAACAACAGGAGTACTTCACATGATTTTCAATCCTCTACTTCTGATACTGATGTGAAGTTGAGGCTACATCGACGACTGATTCGTTACGACAGAAGCAATGAACTTCCGCAATATGTCTGAAACCTACTATGATACAAGAGGGAGGATTCACCTTCCTCCACAATTTCACGTATGTAACAAAGATCTATGATACACTCCGCCTCATCTGCTCTAACTACTGCCACTAAAATGAACGAGGTGAAGGAGTTTTCGCGCACGACAGGGGCAATCACCTAAGTGATTGGTCACACCGATTAGCGCTGATGTTTAAGAAAGTATTTCCAGTCCTCCATGCACTTCGCCGTCCAAAACTATAAAAAAATCCCTCCTATCAGACTTCTTTTCGATCAAAACAAGTCCTTCCTCCGAGGTGATGAGCTGAATTGCACCCACAAGCTTGGTAATAGTCCTAATCCTGAAAAATCAGTACCTTCAGTTTCGCATCTCGTCCAAACGAAGAGTCACCCTCGAGCACCGACTTCCTTTTCTCCTCGAAGCAGCGCCTCCCTCTGTCAGCTCATGAAATGAAGACACGGCATGCCCGTCTACAGAACCTCGCGAGTAAAGACATGCACTCATACAGTAAGAGTAAGCTGTGCCCTTCAGTGCTGAGGTGAACCCTGTACTGAGGCAGCTGGCAGAAACTCCTCGATGATCCTCGTCCATATCTTGATAGGCCAAACAAAGCCCACATCAAACTTCAAAAGAGGGCCCGAGTGTGAAGCAATACACTGTGACCAGCAGATGCATTCCAGCAGCCGTCATCGCAGCAGAGAATTCGGGCTGATTTGGGCAGACCTCCCGGAGAACTCGCTACACAGGGAAGAGCCCGCAGCTCGAAGGTCTGGAAAGAGTTTGCTGGAATCGAGACTTACAGACAAAGCCATGGGGCTGTTGACGGGAATGGGCCGGTCCGGAATATCGGGCACTGGCATATCGCCTTCCAAATACTTGAGAGTCTCTTGCATGGTGGGCCGGCATGCCACCAGGATGTGCGAGCACAAAATTCCCACCAGCACAAATCTCTCCATCGCATCCCGCGGACCTACATCTCGTATGCTCTCATCCACGATGTCAATCAGCCTGTCATTCTTCACCATCCCCCAAGCCCAGTCCGTAATCTGCTGATACCCGAAGGTCTTATCCTCGGCCTCGGCTGCCAGAGCTGCTCTGCCACTCATGAGCTCCAGAAGAACGACGCCAAAACTGTAAACATCGCTCTTCTCCGTGAGCTGACCGTAGAGAGCATACTCGGGAGCCATGTAGCCTCGAGTGCCCGCCACGGCGGTGGTCATGTGGCTCTGGCCCTCGACGGCGAATTTGGCAAGGCCGAAATCCGCGACTTTGGCATTCAGATTCTCGTCCAGCAGAATGTTGCTGGCTTTGATGTCGCGGTGGATGATGGGCGGCCGAGTGTCGTTGTGCAGGTAAGAAATGCCCTTGGCCACGCCGACGGCGAGCCTGCGTCTCTCGATCCAGTTGAGGCTGCGGCTGCCATCGCCGAAGAGGTAATCGTGCAGGCTGCCATTGGGGAGGTAGTCGTAGATGAGCAGGCGCTGGGGGCCGTCGGAGTTGGTGCTGTCGACGCAGCAGCCGCGCAGGATGACGAGATTTCGGTGGCGGATGCTGTTGATCACCTCGACCTCGTTCACGAACTCGGCGTCTCCCTCCACGGTCACGTTCTTCATGCGCTTCACAGCGATCTCCATCCCGTCCTCCAGCACGCCCCTGTACACATCGCCGAACCCCCCGGCGCCGACGAAATTCTTGGGCGAGAAATTCTTGGTGGCCGCCTTGATCTCGTCGAAGTCGTACATGATGAGCCCGGTGTTGGGGCGCATGCTGCTCAGCAGCAGCGTCTTGTTCCTCTGGATGAAGGCCCGGTGCTCCTCGCCCTTCTTCCTCCTCCACAGGAACAGGAACACCCCCCAGAACACGACGCAGGCCGCCACGGCGATGGCTGCCCCGATGCCCAGGTACAGGGCCAGATTGCGCCGCTTCGACTGGGCTCCTCGGACCAGCGTCACCGCCATGATGCACTCGGCCGTGCCCGGCTGCCAGGGCCCGAGCTCGTTGCTGATGCCGGCGGCGTACCACAGAGTGTAGAACAGGCAGTCGACGTTGTTGCTCGAGAGGCCTGAGAGCGCAGAGCTCACTTCCGACATTGCCACCACGCAAACATGGCACAGGTTCAGATCCTGCAGATCGCCCTTGCACGATTCATCGAGCGAATTGTACCCGGTCACTCCCACCATCTCCTCGTACTGGCTTCTGGTCTCGATGCCCGCACACTTGGTGGGAGTACTGACGTATCTGCCATACCCGCTCTCCGGGAAGCACACATCCACGATCCTGCTGTCCTTCAGACCGTCGTCTTGCAATTGCTTCGCCAGGTCCTTCACGCAAGCTCCCACGGTCGCATTGTCTTCCAGCCTGAACAGCCCGTCCGTTCTCAAGTACTCGGCCTCGGCCAGTCCGAGTGCCGAGCGCAGTGCCACACAGCAAGTGGCGTCCTGCGTGATGTTTTCGGGAGTTTGGCATGTTTGCACGAACCATGGGAAATTGCTCAGCCCGGACAAATCGAGGGGACATGACGCCGACTGGAGGACTCTCCGCGATGATGAGAATTCTGTGACCCACTGCAGCTCGTCCTCGATGGCGCTTATTGCCAGATTCTCAGACCTAGGTTTGTGGAGGATTCGATGATCGACGCCGGGAACGTCCTCGTTCTTTGCCACCTTGCTTTCACCATCTCCAGGCAGAGCTAGCAGCAGGTTCGGTTGAGCTGAAGAGCATTCTGTCACCCCACATCTTCCGGAGGTCGACACTACAGTCAGAAGAATCACAGCCAACTGAAGACAGCCGACTACCAATTTCCGTGACATTCCGCAACTAGCTCTATTTTGTGCAGGGTGCCTGTGCTAGTGCCTACTGAAGAGATTGAGAAGAAGGAATTCGCCCTGCTCTTGTACCACTTGCACCTCACGAGGAGAAGCTTAATCTGCCTGACACAGCTTGACGGCGACGAACTTCCACAAATGTTCGCGAAGCTCTAATTTGTAGCTCAGTGATGAAGAGCCTGGAAGTGAACTGAACACAACCAATCCCATAGATACGGAAGGGAGTAAAAGCCCACAGGTTGCTACGCTCTGCTCCGCCAGAATCTCTAGACTGAACCTGCAACAGACTCTAAGCAAACGAAATGAGATGGAAGCTGCAGAAAGTAGGTTACGGATCTAATAAGCCTCATGCGCAAATGCACGAGAGGGAGGCGGACATGAGCTTCAGGAGACTCAGATGTGGAAACTGGTCAGCAATGCGGAGAAGCAGCGGACTAGAAAGCCTGTAGAATCAAGCATCTACCTTCAACCCCGTGCACGAAAGGCTCAGCGCGACGACCCATTTTCAATATTATAGTCGGCTACGAATGGCTGGAAGACCTTCCCACCATTGAGGGGGAAGGACCAGATGAGACCCCAGGAAGGACTTCTCGCTCGCCCTCTCTGACTCGCCAAGCAGCACACGACAACCAATGACGGCGAAACGGCGTCTGTGGGCCAAATTCCAGAGGCAAAGTTGGGGAAACGAGAAGTTGGTGCAGGGAACCGAATGGCGAAACTGAATGGATATTTTCCTGTGAGAGGACACTCTGGCTCTTACAAGCGGTTCGGTTGATTTAGCAGGAGTACACTGCAGGTCAGGCCCTTCACAGAAGCACACTGCACACAAAGTGCAGAGTGCGCTTTTGGCTCCAGTAGGCATGACAGCAGTCACACGTACGAACAAACACAGCATCCATCATTATATGCATACGAGGCTACCAGTAGCCATCATCAGAATGTGTAATCTCTAGAGGAGAGTCTGGAGACTAGTTGGTCTGGGTTCGCTGATTATTAACCCACGCCTCGGTGGACATTCTGCAATTCAGAGTCCACCGCTGCACTGAAAGTGAGTTGCATTTGCTAGTCTCTTGTGGAAGAGACCTAGACTCTGGATTTGACCGATTTGTTGTTGAGTGCTAACAACGTAAAGCAAGTAATTAGCAAACTGAAGCATTCATCCAAATGATGACAACCGTCATTCTTTATCTCGCATAAAACAAAAGAATGGGCACCACCTTAGGATTGCATTTGACTTTAGTCAAAAACACACCACTTATCCGCCTCTTTAAAGCTTTTCAATCATAATCTGAGCACTGGATCTAAATCTCATGTGTCACTAGTAGCTGAGATATGAAACATCTCCCCTCCAATACTAGATCACAGTTTAAGTCAGAGAAATGATCTACAAATCAGAGTTTGGATTAATTATTCTACAAACATTCTCTGTAAATTTGCTAGAGGAGACGAACACTCTTTCGAAAGAACTGTCAGAATGACTTCTGCTGTTCAAAACGAGTAATAGAAGCAGCTGTGTTTTACTGTCCGCGAGTTTAAACTCTAGATACATAAAATATTACATTGGAAGATTGCATTGCATACATATTTGAAAGTTGAGGAACACATTAGAAAAATGGTCCAGGTTTTTCAAATGAAAATTGATGAGGAGAAAAAGAAGAATAGCATCTCACACGAGTAATGAGGCTTGTTATACAACCACGGGGTCGTGGGCTTTTTGAGCAAAGTAATTCTCATGCTACAGCTCCTCTCATCTTTTAGGTTCTATAGCCGTAACGAGTACGACATGAATCTGTTCATCCAAGTTTGCATCACTTGGGTAGACTTAAAACATACCACGCTCTTTTAGATGAAGTATCCACAATTAAATCTCTTATACAATTGCAAACATTTCATCCGTAATCACAGTATAGGTAGCTATATTTTGTAGTCAGATTGGTCAAAGAGTCATATGGACCTTTATTTATTTTTAAAGGTTTATCATAAGAGATTAATGGACATGTATATGGATGAAGCCAAACAGAACCTCATAGTTTCTGACTCTTGGTATGGAATCGCGTCAAAGACCAAATGCTGCATAACATCTTACCAAGCTAGGTGGAATAAAACTGGCTTTCTCTTTAAGTCATCCAACTCTCAAGTTCATCCTTTGGGACGACACAGAAGTCATACGGATCAAAAGAACAATGAAGTGTTGAGGGTCTCGTCAATGGCAAGTGTGAAGAAAGGGGTGGGCAAAAGTAAGTATCCATTGCACTATCCTGGACATGTACATACCACACACATTGTCAAGTACACTACGTGAACCGAAGCTAGTACGAGGCGCAGTAGACGCAGAAGATCGGAGAAGGTACATGATAAAAAAATCCCGTACGATCATATCTTGGACACATGTCGTCCGGAAGTCGTAGATTCTCAAGTTCTTAGTTCACTTCTACGGACCTAATAGCAGTGTGCCCCGTCATCAGCAATCGAGAAGTACTGCTTACGATGTGGTGTACTGGCGTATTAATCGACGCAAGCAATGTTATGGATTTCACTCAGCAAGGGCTGTACGATCTTAATATGCCCTCTGCTTGGTCTTCTGAGATACTGAAGTCCTAAGAAGACCATATCATTCTTCTATGTCAACAATCAGTCAATTCGATCTGAAGTGGATTCCTTGCCGACTGTGAAGTTAGTGTGACACGTCAGGGCTTGACTAGGTAGCCTTGCAGCACGACAGGTTCATTTTATGTGAAGATTTTGTGCTGAAATCTTCATCTGTTTCAGTGAAACCAAATTCATAAATTCAGCTTGCCCACTGTGTCAGAAGAAATGTGTTTGAGTGAAAGACATACGTACACTCTCTAATTATTTCGTTCTGCAACGATTTTTATTTTGTGATCATATATCTAAACACATGATCAGATATTTGATTTTCTTCTGTTTCTTTCTGGGGATATTTGAAGGATGAAAGGAATCTAAATGTTTCTAGCACGTTAGTAATTTACATAGTTCACAATGATATTACCCAGAATGGCACCCACTTCCAACAGATTCCGAGTTCTATTCTACAAAATCGTTCGAAGATCGAAGATCACAGTGTTCTCTTGGTTGCGTTTGTACCTAAACCCTTTGGAAAGATTTAACAATAACAAACAATCATTCAGTATCAATTCTTTGTTTTATTTTCCATCCGTAATTTTTTTGGACATATCAGGTGATCGCCATCTTTCAATGAAAAGAACTTATACTTCGATAAATCTATTTGCGCACAACCCTCACGGATAACTGACTGGTGTTATGCTTGGTAGCTCAATTGCCAATATGTTGTGTTTCCTTCGCCATAGTCATAAGTAGGCACATGGTGGTAGGAAACCTTGTGTTTTTACACAGATCCTTAGGTCACTTTGATGCCCGAAATGAATCCTGTAATGCAGGAGAAAATTTCAGTTCATAAGTCTCTGATTTTCTTTAGTGTCTTTTGTCAATGTATGCCCTAGGTGGTCTTATGTTTCTCTTGATCCACTTGCACGTGGCTGTGCAAAACATCTGGTCAATATCAGAGAATCCATACTACGTCTGAAAGTCAAGGAGAATAATTCAAAAGATGGAATGTTTCCCCAAGTCCTCAAGGTCATCTCCGGGAGTTGGTGTCAACTCAGGGTATGTGTTACGTACGAGAGCCACGGCGAATAGCAAGCGTATGCTATATAAAGGCAAGATCATTTTGGCTTTCAGTTTTGTACCCCATGTCAGGGAATTATTCGTATCATATGATTTCAAAATCCTCATACATTAGTTCGATCATTTACGCCTCTCAAGTCGAGGTGAGAAACGCTTTCAATGTCTCGTGGGTGACCCTTTTTATATATAAAAGAGGAGATAGTTTACGTCAATGAACAACTGGTTGCGATTCAAAAGGGTCACGGGAGGAGCACGTCACACAATCGTTAACTGGCCCGGAGACCTGATAACCTGGAGTACCTGTGAGGCTTGGTAAATGCCGGAGAAGGTACACGCGTAGATAAACCACGAAGAGGAATCGGAATTCAACTGCTCCTCGTGTCATGTTAACTTTTGTTATTCGACATTGAACATGTCTACGTTCAATGAACTTCAATCCAATTAATATTTACTCTGGTTTATGTTCTGTTAAATGGCCAGCTTTCTTCAGAAAGAATCTGTTACAAGTGCAACATAGTAAGCGTGAGCTATCATTATAAAATATCTTAACTCAATTTCGATCCAAAGGAATGAAGCAAGTGCAATGTGCAATGTTGGTTCTAGGTCGGCCTAAGCCACATAAATTCTAGAGGGATGTGACTCTAGGGAGTCAGGACGGTCTTGTAATCGGAATATATGTTACAACGGCTCTCTCCCTTCTTGTATTTTCTTCCCATCAAATTTCTCTCGTTTGCCAAGCTAGTGCCGGTTCTTCTACGACGTTTGTTCCACGAATTTACCAAGTCTCGCCGGTACTCCAGGTTATCAGGTCACCGGTCCATTTTAACGGTTATGTGACGTGTTGCTCCCATGACGTCAACAAACACGCAGAACCCAAGCTGCCGCAAGCAATCATGTACTGTACCATTCGGTTTGTTGCTCTGTGATGCAGATGTGAATTCTCAATCCAAAACTCGAAGCTTTTGGGCGCTTTTGGGCGCTTTTTGTGCGTGTTTGGCTCAGTGAAAGGGGCTTCAATCCCCCCCGCCTAGCTTAGGATGGTGACCTGCCATTTGCTTTGCTATAAGCTCCGGTACTGTACACTGTAGTTGGGTCTCTAGTGGGCCTCCAATCTTTCTGATCACTTGGTTATATGCTCCATGACAAGAAGATAGATATGGTTGTAACGCCAGAGTGCATCTCACCAAAAGCTCAAGGTTATTCGCCTCGACGCTGTCATTCAAGCTCGAAGTTGGGCTTACTCAGGAGTGCAGTGTGATTTGGAGAAATTCTGTATGCTGCACTCGAAGGGCTGCTTCATTGGAAAAGTTGGCAAGCCCAGGCTTTCCTCAGATGGCCGAAGTTGAGTATCGGCGCTGCCTTAATGCCAGAACATGCCGGCAATGACCACAGAGAGAGGACTCAAAACTGTCACAAGGCAGGTATATGTGTCCGTTCATCTTATAAGTACAGTAGTGTATTTGAATAATCCTACTTTTTCTCGTCAGCACTGCACTGCAGTACGTGATACTAAAATGTCGAGTGGTCGAGATTGTCGAGAGAGGTGAATGTATCTAAAGAATTTTATACACAAATCTACTTGCGTGGGCTGTAAGCCTGCTCCTTTCAGGACCTGTTCATAAGAAGGACGAAAGGGCTGACTTGTCTGTCACTTGGGGGCTCGAAGCTGGTCATCGATACTCTCACCAGCACCATCTGCGATCTAATTCTACACTTAAGTCTATGTGTATCGTACAATGTTAGGCACGATGTTTGCATGCCACAGTATGCTCCGCATTTTCTGGTTCCTAAATTTGGGTCCTAGATTTGCAACAATAATTGAGGCCTCAGTTTCAACCGTGACAAAGCTATAAACACTATGCAGAGAAGTGCAACGGAAGGCTGCATATATTTATCTCTGCTTCCAAATGTGTAGATCTGACCACCTGCCTGCCCCATCTGGAGTGGCCTTAGTGAAATCCGAGTTTGCGCTTGCACCTGTTGAAATCACGACCGAAGGCTTCATGTATTCTAGCGAATAAGCTCGTTTAGAGAGTCGAGGTCGGGATCTGAAGCGGAGTGAGCATGGCTGTTTATGCTTTCGTTGTCGGGCCAATCGTGTGAGCTGAAGCGATGACCGGGCATGGGCCGGTACCACATGGTGGGAAGAGGAAGCTCGCCTTCCAGATACTTCAAAATTTCCTTAAAAGTGGGTCTCAGTGTAACCAGATTGTTGGTGCACATAGCTCCAATAAGCACGTAAGTCTGCATCTTCTCCTTGGGTCCCACGGTTCGTATTCTCTCATCCACAACCTCCAGCACCTTCCCAGCACCAACCATCGACGCGACCCACTCGGTGATGGCATAATTCGGCGTCGTCTCCTGCGACGGATCCAGTGCTCTTCTCCCTGTCAAAAGCTCCAGCAAAACCACTCCGAAGCTGTAAACGTCGCTCTTCTCCGTCAATTGCCCGTACAGGGCATACTCTGGAGCTAGATAGCCCGGAGTCCCGCTTCCTCTGCCGGTGGTTGGACATTGGCCGCCCATGGCTTCGTTCAGACGGGCCAGGCCGAAATCTGCAATTTTGGCATTCAGATTCTCGTCCAGAAGAATGTTGGAAGGTTTGATGTCTCGGTGGATAATGGAAGGAACGGTGTCATTGTGCAAGTAGCAGAGACCTTTGGCCATTCCCACGGCGATCTTGCGCCGATTGGACCAGCTGAGCAAGGTCTCGTCCTGTGGCTCGAAGAGGAATTGGTCCAAACTTCCGTTCGGCATGAAGTCACAGACGAGAAGGCGCTGGTGGCCGTCTTCTGGGGTGCTGGTCACGCAGCAGCCCAGCAGAACCACGAGGTTCCGATGCCTGACCCTGTTGATGATCTCGAGCTCGTTCAGAAAGTCCGCATCTCCATCCGGCGTGCAGTTGTGAATCCTCTTCACAGCCACCTCCAACCCGTCCTCCATCGTCCCTCTGTAAACACTCCCAAATCCCCCCGAGCCCACGAGATTCTTCTGGCTGAAATTCCCCGTAGCTGCTTTGATATCCTTGTAATTATACTTGATCAGGCCCGTGTTGGGTCGAGCAGACTTGAGCATCTTCTCATTCCTGCTGATGAAATCTCGATGGGGCTCTTGCTTCTTCTTCCTCCGCCAGACAAGGAAACTCAGGCATCCCATCAGGCTCGACAAGAAGGCTGTGGATAGACCGATCAGCACGAGCTCTGTCACACTGAGAGATTTCCCGCCTCCTGCTTTGGTCAGACTCACGGCCAATATGCACTGGGCAGAGCTCGGACTCCAAGGCCCCGAAGTCGTGGCTATGGCCGCCGTGTACAAAATCATGTCGTAGAAACAGTCTGAAACGTACCTTCCGTCGACGGACGATGCTTGGCCCACGGTGACATTTGTGGCGAGAGTTTCATTGTCGAGCTGCGAGGAGTTGGTGGTGGCCGAGGATTGCGCGTTCAGGTTGTTGTAGACCATCATCATTTCGCTGATGCAGCCGCTGCATGCCAGCAGATCCGTCAAGTCCCCCGCGCAGCCTCTGCTCAGAGACGAAATGTTGGCATCCCCGACGGTGCGCTCGAAATCAGAGGCCGTCTCGATGCCCAGGCAGAGAGAATTGTTGGTCAAGAACCTCGGCCAGAGCTGCTCCGGGAAGCACATGCCGACCGCATCGTAGTCCAGCCCCAGGGCCTCCAATGTCGATTGCAGCTCTCCCAAGCACGACTGGACGATGTCTGTGGTGGCCAGACGAAAAATGCCCGTGTCTTTCAGCCACTGCGACTCGGCCAGCCCCATTGCCGACAGCAAAGCGTTGCAGCAGGCGGTGGAATTCGTGGCCTCGTCCGGGCGCTCGTCCTCGCATGTCTGCACTACCCAGGGATAGTTGCTCAACTGAGTGAAGTCCAGAGGGCAGGACTCTTCGATCGCAGGACTCTCTGCCAGCAGTCTCGCACCTGATTGCATCATCCGCCTGGACCCGGGCCTGCTACTTTCGGCTCCTCCGAGCTGCCATATCAGATGGATACACAAAACTGCCCACCCTAAACTCCTCATCAAAGTCTTCATCCTTCCCCTTCGCCGGGTATGGTTCGAGACAGCTGCAGTGAATGCCGATGAGGAATGCTCGAATGAGCTCAATCACCGTCTGTATTTCATTCTATCCAAATGTTTGTTCCAGACTGCTAAGAATTTGAGGCACCCCATAGCTGGATGACAGAAATCGGTACCAAATTTCTCTTGGTGTGCGTGACCTGCTTAGCTCTAAAACTTGACCACTTCGTGTTCCTGCAGAGCTTCCCCGAAGAATTTTCCTGTTCTGAAGGTTTTAACACGGTCCAACGACTGATCGTCGGCGGGGCCCTGGAAAACAACAATTCAAGCAGGATAACACGATCTCTACAAATTCCCGGTCTCCCAGAACCACCAACTGCATTGATGAAATTGTAGTCCTTCATGAGAAATTTGCCGAGCTGTGTTTGGACTCAGGAAACTATCCAGTGGAAATGATTGAGAGAAAGTCCGGAGAAGCTGGCAGCGCAGGCAATCACTTGGAGAAGCAGGGCGTCTATACATTTGGAATTCGCGCAGCGAGAGCTGACTGTGAGCTTGCTCGAAAACGAGCTACACGAAGCGAGGACTTAATACACCAAATCCGTCCTACGAGTGGGAGTATGGGACGAGGAACCCGCGATGGCAAATCGGGCATTGACCCTGGGTTGGGTCAAACTTATAAGCCAGTCCTCCCACGGGTCGGGAAGCTCATTAGACTTGGGGCATGCAGGCCCTGCAGGGAGTCGTGTTTGACCTTTCATGTCGAAGCCAGAGGACAAGCCGCAACTTGGATTGGAACGCCGTGGGCTATATGAGTGGCAGCTGAATGCCCACCAATGTGTGAAACTGTGCAGTGACTCATTGACCTCATCACATGACAGTTCCGACTCCTCTCCCCGTAGGCCCCCTGGGGAAACATTCGACGCTTGCATGCTTCCCAAAGTGGCCTTTTCGCTTCGGCGTAGGAAAGTGGAGCGAAGCTTATCTATATTTTGGGTGGCTCCTACTACAGCGGCACGAAACGACATGAATCTAGGTCGGACGAGTTGATGCACACAAAAGTCGGCTAGTCTGACCACCGTCCAGGCCCCCTTGTTTTCAAGAGTGTCTCGTTGGTCTATCGAATTTCTTAGTCCACTCGCGGAACAGACAGTTTCCTCCCTCGGTCCAATTCCGAACCTCTCTCGGTCGCTCGGTCAATTGAGAATCTTCTCTTGATTATCAGCACGTTTGGAGAGCATGCGGGTACTTTTGCAGAGGAACAGGGTCCAAGAATGTGGGCGATCAGTGAGCCACTCCGACGGGCGGGAAGCAGCCATTGCTATTAGTGGAGGAGTTTTAATTGCAAGCATAACAGAATCTATCGGGCAGATTCAGTATCAGAGATATTCTGAACTTTTGCAGTTTTTTGCAGTCCAACAGGCCCCACAAGATCTTTGATCCGGCATTTAGTACCATTATGTGGCATGTGTACAAGCTCGGGTCGCCCAGCAGGAGGTGGATCATCTTGCCAACCTTCTGCCAAAAGTCTCACATTCAGCACATTCGGCCGGTGTCGTGGGGGCCAGAAGCTGACTCAATGAATGTATCCCTATTTCTACGAGATTGACATAAATCTGTAAATATTTGACACTCTTCTCTCGAGCTAGGATCGTGGCAAACGTCAGAACACAAATGCTTTCGAACTTGAAGAACTCCCCGCCGGCCTCATCGATAGGATGAGCATGTAAGTTTTGTCATAGCTTCATCCATCGGGCATTGCAGTTTTGAAAATAGAAGCACCTTGTACCCAAGGGGTTCTTTGAATTAAATACCCAGATATATTCAACTTGGGTCTTAGAGGCTAGTGAATTTTGTGACTTCGTCTTTATGAGGTCAAGAAGAAAATACTTCTTCTCATTCTGTTCAAACCTCAGAACTGTACTGTCATGCTTGGGTGCTCAAATTTCAATTACAAAGTCATACTTGCCATGGATAGGGATCGATGGCGTGTGCGTCTCCTTCAGTAACATCGATATGGATAGCACTGGTCATCACATTGAAAGCAGCCGCCAAGCATGTTAGCTTCAAAGAATCAAAGAATCGCCTCGCGTTTCAGAATCATCTCCAAAGTTCTTCGATACGTGAGTTCAACACTAACTAAAATGCATCTGATAGTCATCCGAGACGCTCTCTTTCTCATCGTATGCTGCACATGCCCTCCACCTCGTCTGGACGAAGAAAAAAAAAACCCTCAGGAAGACTCTTCTAAAGAGCAGTCTGACTGAGTCCTTTGGCGGCGTAAAACAAACAAATTGTATAAAAATGACGACGTTCCAGTTGCCAACATGGTCTTTCACGGCGCCTTTGTGTGACTCAGCTTCGAGAAGGATGCCTTCGTTTCGGTTCTCGGCATGGGCATGGACAGGAGATACTGGAACATGGCGGAAAGTAGACAAGCCTTTTTAAATCGGAGAGCAGAGTCTTGCTCCAATCTGGAAAAATGCATTCCTCAAAAACCAGGTGTTCACTAGTGTGTAATCCGTGGGAGCTCAAGTCAGCAGAATTGAAAAATTCTTAGGCAACTGTTGTGCACGAGATGGGTTCGATTATTGGGTCAATCCATCAATCTTCAAAACCTTCCTAGTCACAAGGAAATTGCGTTGACGGCACTCTATGTGCGTATTGAGAAGCCACATCAACTAGTGAAGATCATGTCTTTTGTCCCGAGAATATTTCACCGGCCTTCTTTGGTTGCCTTGAAGTGTTGACATGTGCATTCGCTTTGTAACTTCAACTGTGCAGTTTTGGTTCTTGTTTCTATTACTAATATTATTATTGGTCTTTCCAATAACTTACTATTGTTTTCTCCGTTGCATAGAGGTGGGTAAATATGAGTCGGCTCATGATAGTTGGGTACGCATGCTCCAGTATCTGATTGCGTACTCACTCCTTGCTCTCACTCTCCTATAGTTCACCTACAAGACAGTCTATATGTCCATTCTTTATTCTCATTGTCTACTAGGCTTGGCAAATTTTAACCTCGCCATGACTGAAAAGTTATACACAAACTCTCAGCTCTACTACTCTATCCCAAACATCTTATAGAATCCTAATACATGTCATTGTCAGTGAAAAAAGTGTGAGTATCCAAGCATCTGAAAGTGAAAGTGAATTTCATATTCTTCTTGAAACCTGAAAAGCGCAATAATATCTTACATATAATGTAAAGACCCAGTCAAATATAACATAGATGAATTCACAGATTTCACAAGAGTCATAGGATGAAGATCGGAGAGTCTTGTTAATTGAATGACAAATTAAAATTGGTCAGAACTACATGATCCACTTGCAGTCGGGAAGAGAAATATCTTTTCTTATCAAACCATTTGAATCAATTTTGTTTATCTTACTTAACTTGTTATTAAGTCAAGAAGTCATATTTATAAGGTATACATCTAGATTTAGCCACATAAAAATTCTAAAAATTTTATAGGTCATATTCTCATGAACTACATCAACATGATTTTGTCCATGATAAAATTATTCTTTTCCTTGACATGAAGAATTTTGTTAGGTATCTTTATTTGTCATGACTAGCTCATATAAAAATTAATCGTTGAATTTAAATAATCTTTAATTATTTGTATATCATTTTTAGCAAATCAATTACATAATCTGAAATCTTTGTAACATATTTAATTGGTATAACTTGACTGAGAAGTTTTATCACATAAGTATGAAGCAATCAGAATAAAAACATGACACTCTAGTGTTAGTTCTAAGATGTATTTTTTCAAAATTAACTATGACACTTAAAGATATGATTTTAATGTTAAAGAAATCCGAGTACTTTTTCTAAAGCTACATACACGTTGCCAAAAATATACATTATCATCAAGTGAAATTTTACCAAAACAATATGAACATAGAAAGATGCATCAATTAACACAATACTCTGTAGCTATTGCTACAAGTATAATCATGAAATAATTTTTTTAATTAATATATGAGCCTTCGATAAAAGAAACTGTCAACTTTACACTAACAATGTTGAACAAAATTCCTTCTCACAAATATGTTATAAGAATCACAATTATAGCTTCGTACAACTCAAATGGAACATGAACCTAATAGTTGAATTTAGTACACATTGTCTTTTATTACTTGCAGCTCATAAGAAAAAATGAATAGAAAAATAAATCGATATCTTTGTCACATGCAAAAGTGATCATTTTCATGTGTGATATTTTTCAGCCAAAAATCTATTCTTTCTATCCATGATGCATTATCAATGCCCTTTTTGTTTTGCAAAATTCACCCTCATGCCTTAATGACACCATTATGTCATCATTCAATCTCTTAAAAAACAAGTCACGTCAATATTTATTGATTCAAAAGATCTAGAATTGATGAAATCTATCAGGTCAATATCTTGTTGCTGTAAAATTCATGAGAGGTGATATCTTTACCCATTATCAAATTTTAGATTGATGAACACATACATTTTTAGAGCAAGAGAAAAACAACTATTATTATTACATAAAGTGACCGGATCTATAGTACTGAAAAACTATATTGTGTTGAAATTTTTGGCTCATCAAAATAAAATATAGATCTTTTAATCAATTGATAGAGAAGGAAAAAAATCAGTCTAAAATAAAAACACTTTCATATGTATTATTATCAAACAAAATATATTTTTCTAACGTACAAAATTTTATGATATCATTATTATACATGTAGAAAAATTTAGTTATAATTTTTTAATTTTAAAAAATAATTATATATGAAATCATTGCTTCAATCTTCATCACACACTCAATCATTTTAAAAAAGATTCCAATATAAACACAAGTATACATAGTCGTAACATCTACATTATCAATCAATGATATGTCGTTGTACCAAGTTGCATCAAACACAACCTTCACAAAGATTATCAATGATATAATATTTCGACATGATTCATATGTGGTACGTTTTCTACAGAGTTGACACATCAACAAATGGTTCACCTTAGTAAATTTAGATATACCATAAACAAGTTACTTTATAAGAAAAACTTCAAATAGCATAGTATATAAACGATAACACTCTTATGTAACAATTCAAAATTTGTACAATTCATCATAGTTAAACTCAAATATAGGCAACTCTTAATTTCATAAAGCATTTGTAGACTAGTTTTCAAGTGCAGTGGACTCCTTATAAAATCATCATGTAGACATTAGAACACTTCCAAAGGACTTCCTTCAAACCAGCCAGCGTGACTGCTTCTTCCATGTTCAGCTCAATTTATTCAAGCATTAAAAGTAGTACTTCAAGAACCAATGAGGATGCGAACCAACTTCTCCCACGAGATGACATCTGCATGTTCAAGGAATTTCTTTAGATGACCAAGTGCCAAATTTATGACCCTTGATGAATAAGTGAGGGATAGGAATCATACTGTTCCACCAGCTGACAAATGCGACTGAAGCATCAGTCTCGTGGATGCTATGTAAGCCGTAAACACTCGAATCCTGCTGCTGAAGGTCAGTTACCGTCAAGATTCAGGTTAGAATTCGCAATACAGCCGAAAGTTAATCAACTGCCAGTCGGTCGGTTGGTCAGGCAGTCAAGTGATTTGCTTTGCTTCACGATCGACCGACTGACTACGCCATTCTGATCAGCAAACAGCCATGCCAAGCTCCGAAGCAATGATCTGAAGCGGTTGGTACTCTTTTACCTGTAGCAAGGGGAGGTCTTGAGCGCATTGCGATCAAGCTCTCGAAGAGGATTGAACCCTCCTCCGCCTCTCTGTCCATTCCGAAGAATTTCCCGCTCATGGTGGTTCTGTGCAGGACGTGAGCCATCCGGACGAGATGGAGAAATTACTGCCGAACTCGAGTTCCAAGCATGGTGCGTCGCTGCTCTCCTCCTTTTCTGTGGTGTCAAACTGACCATCTGCCATTGAGATTCTCATGAGATCGGGCGGCCGCGGGTCTCGTTTGCATCTTCATTCTCATCAACCTGCTCGTTTGCAGTTGGGCGTAGCAATCAGACATCGACTAGATTACATTGAAAAGTGAAAACTAGACTAGAAGCGTCTGTCATGTCGACGAAATTGTAAAGTTCTTCTAGGGAACCAAATTGCTTCCATTGGAATCGCTCGGGAATGTACTGGATACTCCATCAGCTCTCCTAAGCACGATAGCGGCATTCAAAAATAACTTTGTCGAGAAAACGTCGCACTGGTGCAGGTAACATAGACTGGACGAGGGAAACCCCAGCGATCCCCGACTTGAATTCTGAGAAGAGAAAGAGCTCCAAGGAGTTGCAGTTCAAAGAGATGATCAAGGGTTTGGCTGATAGGATTGCGCAAGCGATGAGTGAATCACCTGACATGGGAGCCTACATGTTAAAACAGAAGCGAATGTGCAGAAAAGGCAAAACGAAAGACATGAACCTTACGCTGGGCAAGAAGCTGATTGCTCAGAGAGCAGCAGAAGACCTCAAACCTGACCTCTATGCGAATGTCGAGTTCGAGAATCTCGATGACATGGGTGCTTATATGCTACAGCAGAAACAAAAGTGCAAACAAGGGAGGATCGCAGATAGTTCAGACTTTGCAAGGAGCTCTGACTAGGCCACAACTTTTTCCATATCCATCAATGACTAGTTTATCCGAGTTTTAAAATCACTGAAATGGTAACGATCCGGGGGTAATTAATCTGCAATTTGGCACTTGACTTGGAACCAAGATTAATGTACATACCTTCGTGTTTGACATAAGCAGAGGACGGTGACCAGAGTCTTTGTTATTCAAACGTGGGTCTTGTGTTTCATACAGGGGCACAAGAGCATAGAACGCTCTTACATTGAACATTCAGATCATATCTGCAGGCAAGCAGGCAGTTCTTCTTGTAAGTTGTCGATGAACATCGTGAAGCCTCATCGATGTTCCTCTGATTCTATCAAATAGCGTTCTTTCTAGCTCAATCACAAACTCATCTCTTTCAAGGATTCGGATTCGCCCCTAGAAGCCGTCTTTAATTCCTACTTAAGTGATCGTAGTAAAGTGATCAAGTTCTTAAGAGATGATAATAAAATTCCGCATCTTTCTCTACATCCGACGTGGATACGAGTAAGTTCTCTGGGTGATCATAAAGTCTAAGTAGTATTCTTTACATGTTTTTATAAATATGGTGAGGTTGTGTTATAACTTGGAGTTTGAGAAGAGACACAATGCTAAGAGGGCTAAAAATGCTTTTGTATGTTAAATGAATTATCGAGAATGTTAGAAAAGATATAAGGAATTTTTTTATTTCTAAACTTTAAATATTTCTTCTCAATTCTATCTCAAGTTTTTTGGTTTGTCCTAATCATAACTATTATTTTCTAAATGAAAGAATAGAAAAAAATTAATTCTAACTAAGCTGGATCGTTTATAACCTAGTTATATACATTTCGAACATTTAAATTAAAATTTGAATATTCTTTTAGATTTTGAATAACATCTAATGTGATTAGGGTTTGGGTTTTGGGGAATACATATAATGAAGTATCATGTATCTTAATAGTTAATTTTTAAGCGAATTTTGGGTTCATTTCCATCACAATTCTCGTAGAGCAATGTTGATACATTATGTGCACATAAACACTTAAGATATACAAAGGTTATGTTTCGTATACTTGGTTGTTTACACAGGTACAGATATTAGACATGATTACGACTGTAATGCGCGTGTCTTGGTGATCATGGTGATCACACCAAGGGCGTAAGAATGTACAACGAAGAACTTTGGAAGTTACAACTATAATACTTCACTTTGTTAGCAAATAGATCTAGTGTGCGGACGAAAGGATATTACTTTCGTCGAAAGCAGATTGGGAAGCCATTTCATACACTTCTGACCTAAATCCCATATCCAGTAGAGATAGTGTAACATTTGAAACTATAGACATTCTTGATCTAGTGGCACACTGTTTGCACTTCCGGATGTCAGGAAAAAATATAAAACAGAATTCGGACAAGTGCGTCTTCCCTCTCAAGTATCCTCCTTCGTCCCCCTCCGATGCATATTGTCCTCACGATATGACGAGCACACACCAATTTACTTCACCACACATGAATTGCACGTGACGTTGTAGATCAAATATAAGAATCAAACACCAGGCAGGTATTGTATGAAAGTGGGACAGCTTGAACTTACATCCAAATCAAACTAAGTAAGCTGTCCAAATAGTCTCTCTCTCAATAGTACATTTGATTTCTCGCACGAAAAATTGTCTATATTCGTCGTCTTTATAAACTACACTTCCTACAGAGCCGAACCGGTACATAACTTTGGTGTATGTTTCCATCATACAGATTACAATTCGATGAACGGACACTTCACGTACCTCTGACTGTTAACCTCGACGTGTTACTATTAGGTTACTCCGATTAAGTAGATTTTTATACACTCAGGTCAATCTTCGTACTTTCCTCTTTGTCCATCAAATCAACTTGTCAGCGAGCTTTCTATCTCCCTTCAACCCGTTTGTACAAATGTAATCATCCATTCGAAATTATGGAGTATCAAAAACATCATCATCACAGTCCATCCAAACAGCCCTGATTAACCCTAGTGATGGAAAAAACCATATCCAACATCTTTGACTGTTTCTTCATTTATCCTCAGATGCTGAACCACCTCCATACAAGGGGGTTTCTCATCTTTCTTTGCTCTTAGCATATCTACTCATATGGATCACACCTATCATATCCACTGACCATCCAGTAAGTCGAAGAGGGAAACGATCCATCCGGTTATAGGGATCCGAGATCCATAAATACAGGACGGAGAAGGCATAATGAACAACAAAAAAACAAAAACAAAAATCGCACCTACTTAAACGCGCACAGATATACAAAAGAAATGAAAGGTCAAGCGAATGACTTAAGAAAGGTCCAATATGTGTAGAAAAAAAATGTGCACATATTCTACTGCCTGAAGTCAGACAAAAGTGCATTATATTTTGCACCGTCTGACGATGTCCCTAAGAGAGTTGATTCCGGTTGATGCGTTTGACGTCAAATATTCTTACTGGTTTAACTTTTGTTTTACATCTCATGCTAGGCCCCTTCAGATTATAGCTTGATTTGAGCTTGCTATACTGCAAACCCGCAGATTTACTTTAATTAAGTTCCTAGACAAATATATCGACTAATCCGGTCAACATGCATGCGACAGCTCAAAACTTCAGCGTGAGAAAAGATCCAAGAGCAAGTGAAAGCACCAAATCGAGCACCAGTAAACACATAAGGTGTTTATCCGTAGTGCACAAATCACCATGCACCTGTCAAGGGACGAATCTTATGATAGTTTGATCATAATGTGAATACCATGCCAAACGAGATACACGGCCATCAATCATGTATCGAAGCGGCTGGGTAAGCGCGAGCACCCCTCAGTCACGACTGCCTGTTATCACCAAGAGTAGCTACAGCAGGCTAGCTCTATTATAATTGTCAATTTCAGCTTCCCAAATCCTTACTTCAACAGTGTACAACATCCCATAGGTACATAGACTCCTGGGATGTTCTACTATCTTGGACATAACCTGAACAAGCGAAACAGGGAACATATTCGTGTGGCATGGGAGGTTGGGTATAATCCTTTCAATCTAACATCTACCAATCTTTTCCCCAAGAGTTGTCTTGGGAAAAATTATGAATGAGTTCAAGTGTAAAAAATTCATTCCAATTGGTGAATCTTGTGTTACCGGGAAGTTGCACGTTACTCCATTTTCCAAGAAATCGTCCCTCATAAAATAAGAATTTTGAATAGCTAATTTTCATGTATTAGCTCTAACAGCTATCACATGGCCTACGTGCTTGCACAGTAATAGCTTACTTTCATTCAGAACAAGAATAGAAAAAGATTTAAGTAATTGTTGAAACACAAAGAAAAGCCTCTTGGTACATTCAAAACAATTCGACGGAGACATTAAAGAAGAAGATATTGAATGGACGGAATATTTCATGAATGACAAATACTCAACTTTGATGAATGCTAATAAAAGTGCATGGATGTGACGGTTGTGGACAGTCCATCAAGAATGAGTTGCAGTAGAGAGATTGAAAATTACCTTGAATGACAACACTATCCCAAGATGCAACTTCGAGGAGCAACATTCAAAGCTCCTAGCTACATCAGAACAATATGTCATCCAAAACACTAGAGGAAGCATGGAGTAGTCAAAACATGATATTAGCATGCTGAGAATATTTAACGTTCCAACTTCAGCTCCCAAACCAAACCAAAGGCGCAGAAGACGAAAGTTGGAATGAAAGCTTCAAGATTCATCTTGAAGCTTTCATCTTCATTGGCTGTACACATTGTCTTCAACCCAAGAACCAAAAGGACAATTTAGAGTGGAAATGTGTTGTTTGCGGAAAACAACAAACACTTACGTACGCAAAATTGTACGTTAAGTATGATAAGAAGAGGAAGAAAAGGAGGACATTCATCAGCCAGACCAAGTACATTGGGAAGTGTTCTACAAAGAAACATGATGGAGGGTGCAAAATGTGTAAGAACACCTTTGGACACTCGGTGCAAACTCAGAATATACATGGAAAGAATCAGCAAGTAGGCAACTGAGGGTAGGCAATTTATTTACCAGATCGCACACAATCTGAATGTTTAGAGTGGAAGACTACTAAAATAATAATAGAGTATTAGAAAATAACAAGACAGGCCCTGCGGAGAACGCATTTGGTACTCTCGAACAAGCAAAACCCAATAGGAAACCACATGAACAATGACCTTCTTATGCAATCACCCGACTGCAAACAATTTTGAACTTACGGTCTGGTTTGTGTTGGATGAAGTAAAGTCGGAGAGGCAGTTTCTTCACCAGAGTATCGTTTCTTCAACAATGTTTGCTGTGGTTTGTACCAGACCAGACAAAAGTAGCTCAAGGGAGCTTTGGCCAGATAGAGTAATTGTCCAACTTCATTTCGGATTCGTAAAGATGGTACTCAGGTACCTAAAAGGCACTCCAAGTACCTACTTGGAGTACATGAAGCTATGATACGAGCTCCTCTCAAAGGATTCTCTGATCTCTAATCTAGAACCTGATCTTAATGTTGCTGTTCATAGCCCACTTGAGGGTAAAGGAGAATTGTAGCAAGCTATGTCTGATTCATTATAATCATTAAGAGCATTAGGCACTGCTGGGTGATACATCTTTAACACATCCTGGTCAACTCTTGCAACAAAGTTCAGAATATCAGTAACAAGAAAGATCATCAATAACCTTCTTGCAGGGGTATCTAGCACATTATTCCAATGGAAACAGCTTTCGCTACATCTTTCCATGCTTTCGCGTGGAAACAAGCTAAAGTTTAGCTATGAATTACACCCGTTGCAATTGTTCCAACTGAATGGGTGTCCGGTAGTAATGGGGTCTTTTTACTGATAAACAAAATGACTGTGTACAATGAAGCTAAGCTACGACAGAATTTAAACCCAAGAATCGACAGTGATTATAGACCTTAAAGCTCATGTTGCCTTATTCTGCTCCTCATGGTCTTCCAATATACCAGCCTCATCAGCCTCATCTTCGTTCAGCGAATCTGGTTTTGGAGGGTAATCTCCCTTCCGTTTAGAGACACTTCTATCTCCGATGGCAGTTGGCCTCACCAATGCCCAAGCTCGCTGCTTCTCTATTCTCGGACCTGTCTCTATTTTACAGGTGTCTTGAAGCTGCAATCGTCAACAATTACAAACAGCCTCAGGTGAGAGATGAAATTATGGCAAGGTTAACAAGCAGGATAAAGCGCTAAAAGTATGCCTTCTTCGACCAACTTCAAAACAGCATGTTTTTCATCTTGGTTTATCAACCCTAAGTTTTCAGATTTGAAATGACAAATCTCAACCACCAAAATTGAGAGTCCTCAAGGAATTGTCAAAAGTGCAATTCCTACTTATGTCACAAAGAGTATCCTCTTGTGAAGAAGCTATCCACCAAAAATCAACCACAAAGAGATGATCACGGACAACGTACCATAGCCACCATACGCTGTATCAAGTCCCGACCTTTTAGGTCCAGGTCATCACTACCATGAGATATAACTGCAATCTGCAACAAAAATATCCATTAAATACAATCCCAGTCACGGCCACAGCCAAACAAGCCTCCATTGATTGACCAATCATTCAAAAAAAAAAAAATTTAATAAAATGTATGACCACCTCCCAAGCAGTTTGAGGCAAAACATTGGTATAAGAACGAAAACTGGATTACAAGTTCAGCCTGGAGAAAGACATGCATTCGTATTGTGAGCAGTCATACCTTTACTCGATGTCCTTTTAGGAGAAGTCTCTTGGCCATTTGTGCCTTGAGCTCCAAATCGTTGGGCTCCTGCAAAGTTCCCAACCAATCAGACCCAAAAGCGATTAGGCCTACTTGACAAACTGAAACGGTTGGCCCAGGATTCGCACACAGGTTCTACACATGATCAAAACTTGCCACAATATGGCTTCAAAAGGCACTTACTGTTCTCGTACTAAATCGCACCTCCTTTAAATCATCCAGACGCCGTCTCTCAGACTGCTCAGACGAGGTAAGGTTAGATTGCTGCTCGTCGGAAAAAATGCTAAAAATTCAAAGGACAGGTTCCACGGATGACTCAAACAACTCGAGCACGAACTTTACATCTGGGTGAAGAAAATTTTGCAGCCTTAATATAGATCCAGGGTCCAAAACAATGACTGTAAAATGTCTGCAGCGTATGCGGTCTTTCGCCAAAAACAAGGTGGCCAACATGCTCTTCTAGAATTGCTACGACATATTAACTTCCCATCTACTTGAAATCTTGTCGGCATATTGGTATCCATTATGACACCATATTCCTGCCATCCGCTGCAAAGGATTAATCGATTCACAAAATAGCGACTTGACAGCACACTAGGTGCGCTCGTTTGAAAGATCAGCAAAATTGCTACCTCGCACCTGCTTTTTCTTCATTTCCTTCTCCCGCTGTCTTTCCTTAAATCTCTCCTTATTGAAATCCATAAGTTTGCATACCGGAGGATCCTGCTTGCCATCGACCTGCAGATATGATAATACGCAAGCAGTAAAACACAATAATGAGACACAAATTCAGCTTCAATAAACTGGAAGGTAAGAGAAAGGTCTGCCATAATTATCTGGCATGGCAGAACGAATGTGAATGATAGATGTTGAAAGATGACATGGTGTTTTCAAGAGGTCAAATTGAAGCAACAGAATTTGATGCGGATCCATTACAATTGGTGATTATTTGTGGCATGTCAAGCTGCAGAACTTCATTGAACTTGCGGGCAGCATTCCTCAATAGCTTCCTCATCATGATGTGAAAGCCTAACAAAGTGACAGATACAACTAACCTCCACCAAATCCAAGTCCATCTGCTCAGCACGTCTCAAAGCCTCACTCCGAGAAACAACCTCGTGACCTGCAAATATCAGAAACAACTCAGAATTGTGCAAGAAAAGTAAGAGTGGAGCCAGTTATAGAGAAGGGCATATTTTCCTACTACGTCCACTTCCTACTTATGTTTCGTGCAAGCAGGCACTCAAAAAAGATGACAGAGATGAACAAAGCACAAGGACAAACGTCAATGCAGTCACTATTGTGTCTGTGATATTTCTCCTCTAAATGTGACAGGAAATTCTCAATGTAACAACAAAAAATCCGCACACGCACAATATCAGAGGCAAATCACCAGAAAGAAAGACAAATTCAAGCTCAAACTGAGACAACTACCATCATCTATGATCAACCGAATAGTCCTGGCCACTATAGCCCTGTTTAGTTTACGATCCGGTTTCTCAGGTTCTGGAGGTGCCTCGGGATCAGCCCTCTGCTGCCGGGCAGGGTTTGGTGTAGCTCTTCCAACTCTGCTCTGCAAGAACATTCAAAACTTAGCAATTCAAAAGCTGTGGCCAAATCTACTCCTGCCAATCGATCTCTTGTAATTGACACTTGATTTATTCAGCGAGATCGCGTGAATGTGATACATTTGCTTAAATTACGGAGTACATTATTCGGCTGATTTGTGTAGAGAAAACTTACGATAGGAGCAGCGTAATTCCGAGCAAAACTGGGGACCGAATGGTTTTCCCATCTTATAAAATCAAAATGATCCAATCCACCGATCTGAAGATTTCCTGGCAAACCAAATGGAACTCCACTTCTACTCTTAAACCCTATAATTTTCAGTGCGGAAACCCCACTCTCTAAACCCTGGAACTCCAACGCATCACAATTTCCACTACTGCCACCTCCACCTCCATGCGATCTACCAGCCCACTTCCTCCCAATGATCATCAACCTCCGCCATCCTCGATTCATCTGACCCGTGTGTCCCACTTTTACTCCGACTGGCAGTAAACCCTCTGCACCTCAAATGCACGAGAAGAGTATTGCAAGGCCCTCTTGTCACACACCTTCAAGTCCACCCAGAGACTCTTGGGACTGTCTTCTGCCGATCCTTGCAGGGGACCGGTCCTTCAACGGGAGCCCTGCCATGGTTTCCACATATGGACAGGTGGAACGCCTCATTCCAACGTCGATCAGGGTGTCATATTAGCTTAAACCAATTCTTCTTCGATCATTGTTGACAAGGAAGTCCGACAATATATCACAAAGGATGTGAATAACCCACCAGTTCTTCCTGAGATGAACCGGTAGATAGTGCCAATATGGGAAATTGGAAATGGGAATATTTCCTGATTTAGATAATTACTTTTACCACTGAGTGAAATTCATTTGTACACAATTATCAAACAAGATCAGCCACATTATCACACTTAGATCTGCCCTAATTTTGGAACATATTACGTTCTGATGAAGAGAATAGCAAACTTTTTCTGCCTTACTCGAACACGTACTAGTATCAAGTGATAAAGCAAAAAGTATGGGAAGAATGGACCGATTTGTAGACGGGGGAGGAAAGCTGCTTAAAACCCAAAAACGTGACAGTGGAAACTATAACCCAAAGAACCTAAGATGTGCAATCCAAAGGTCTACATACTTCTAGATCATCCAAAGAAGCATCACTTCATGTGAATGCTCTTCAGTGAATGACATCCGTTATTGTTATGTTCGGATCAATGCATACATGCATTTCATAGCATTATACATATATAGATGTTGACTACTATGATAGACTACTGCGTGTAATTTTATGAACATATTTCATAAACACAAAGCTTTAGAAAGGTAAAAATTCACAACTCTAAACTTGGAGACATTAGTTGTTGCTATAATTGGAGGTTACTATCAAGCTTATCATCTACTTGTGACATAATGTACTCATCCCATTGATATTTAGATAATTATAATATATGACTCAAACATAAAAAAAAATCATAGAAATATAATAGCATATAAAATGATGACTTCATTGAAAGTTAGATTAGAGATTCTTATCAAGGTGGAATCTCATCGTTATGGAAAGTTATATCATTAAAGTCAGAAAGTTAGTATCCTATGCATCTAACAGATAGATGCATAAGACTAACTTTCTATTATTAGATTCTATCTTGATTATTACATTTACCTCTACAATCTCATGTACTGCAAATGCATATGAGAGTGTCAATCAAATGCAAAGCATTATTTAAATAAGAAAAGATGAAATTTGTAGGTCAAAAATTCGTCATACATCGTCGCGCCAAGATGCACAAACTTTGAGAAAGCTAAACAATCATTTGTATGTAAAATAGAAAACAAAAATATAAACAATTATTGTTTTATATATACATAAGCAAATTCAAAGTCATGTTCATTTATGTTTAACATTGCCAAAAATTTAGGTATAGTTTTAAGTAAGAAAGAGATACACCGTGTGATAAATGCAATACATGAAAAAATATTAAAGACACATACTTATCGTAAAACTAAAAAATAAATCGTTGTGCTCGATTGAAAAGAATAGATTTTTTCCAAAAAATACTTATACGAGGTTAAAATATTATTTTTTTACATTAAATTGTATAAAAAAATTGAAAAAAAAATGTAGCTAAAATTTGTTGAGCATTTTAAGAAATAATGTATGTGAAATGTTGATCAAAGCTTGATATTCATTTATTTTTATTTTTAATTCAATTCTTAAAATCAAATATAATTATTTCTCATAATTAAAAAAATTATCGATATTTTGTTTTAGTCAAAATAAATAATGAAAAAATAAAATGAATTATTTTTTAAAAAAAATATTAAATTAAATTTTAATAAAAATTAATTCAATGACAATTTGAATGACATCTGATGGTATCAAAACAAACAATTTATTTAAAAAAATTTGTAATTAAATATAAATAAAAATTCCAGGTTACTAGAAAACTATATTTCTAAGATAAAAGTCATTTCATTGAAGTAAAAAATCCTTTTGCCGACAAAAAAAATAACCAAAAATAGTAGCTTACACAAAATGTTTAAATATTAGGATATAGTATGACACAAAATTATGTACCTATCAAACACTCACAATATTGATGTGTCAACCATATATAATTCACTACAAATCAACTTTGATTCCATTTTGAATAATCTCAATTTTATTTTTAAAATTTATAAAAATAATTAGATATAAACATGAAAAGGTGATAACATGTTTTTACTTAACAAAATTTTGCTGATATCTTATTGCTCAAAAAGTATGGAAATCCATAAATTTGATGAGTTACATTTATATAATCTACAAAGTGTCATCCCAGATTCATTCAAAATCATGCTTTAAAGTCCCATTTTATATTGATTAAAATAATTTTTTTATTCATCTTTTCGATAATATGAGGTACAAGTCTACAATGTATCATGCTTAAAGCCTAAAAATATTTATTTTTTAAATTCAATTTTGGTATTGATTTTTTAAATGTTTAAAATATTGATGACATATAATTATATATAATAATATATTTATATTTATAACAACTATAAGATGATAACATAAATCAATTATGACGTTGCCTATATTTAATCTTCTGACATTGATTTACTGATCACAGAGGATATAGTGTATTTGAAAATAATGAAGTGATAAAGATTAATATCACTTTGTAAACTCGTAATTTTGATAAGATTAAAAAAGAGTAACTTTGCAATTTTTAATAAGAACATTTCTGTGATCTAAAATTATTTGGCCGCTAATCAGCTGAGTAAAAATTGTATTTTATTTTTTCATAGTCTATCTTAATCCACTTTTTTTGGGTTGTTTCAGATCAATAATTAAGTTAAAAAAAATTTACAAATTTTTTTCTGTTAACAAATGGTCGTTTTTTTTAATCAATTCATTTCAAATTATTATTTTTTTGTTAATTTTAACTTTAACAAGTTATAATTTCTTACTTCAATTGCTTTGAACTTCAACACTGAATTTTAAATGGAACATGAACTTTATTATTGAAATTATTTTATCTCAAAGTTTATGATGATTATTGTGATTATGAGAAAAATTTATTTTCTTGAAAACTTAATTTTTCAATCTTTTTATAATTTAAAATAATAATTTGAGTTATTTGAATTGTGTTGCAAATCCAAACAAAAGCTTGAATTTTAATGTCTTTTGTTGTTAAATAATATTTATTAAGTTTAAAAAAATACAGTTGGGTGAAACATATTCCAAAGTTTTTCATCCTTAAACTTGTATTTTGAAGATTTTCCGAGAAGGTGACAGCAGTAACAGCAGACAGTAAAAAATCAAAAATCACCAACAGTGGCAGAAGCATCAACACACGAGATACCATGTACGTGGTCAGGGCTAGGTAAAACACGCCAATGTAATGAGCAAGGACGGTGGTTTAAAAAAAGACATTGGGGTTTATATATCCCAATGCCAACCTACAGTCACTAAGTTTAGTTAGCTGGAGTTAACATGAAATTGGAGGTGACCCCAACACTATAGTCGTCCACTCACAATATCAACTTTTTTCAATATCTAAGTTTGAAATCATCTTTTATGATAATTGATTAAAATAGCAAGACATAGTAATTTAATCTTGAAAGATGAAGAATGGATAACATATTAGACCGTTGATACACTTCAAGGGGACGAAAGAAGCATGGGCTATTGAGTGAATACATTAAACATGTGGTTCATCTTTGTTATGTTACAAAGTCACTTAACTATACTCTCGATATTGATGCTATTAACCATGATTGAGGTTTGATTGGAAATGAAGTTAAGTACTATACTCAGAGAATATGTTGTAAAATGTCATCCTCATTGAAAATTAGTTACAAACTCGCAAGGACCAGAAAATATCCACTTACTCCGAGTCTAGTCTGCAATCTACTAAACACTAAGCTACTCAAGTGCTCAAACTTTGGAGTTTTAGAGCGGATGCCGCTGAAGTAAATTTCCTGCTGAGAACTTGGAAGAAAGATATACCACCAATTCGGAACACTTCAAATGCTCAGATATACAAGTTCTGGAACTCTCTTCAAGCTTCACTCATTGCACTGAAGTATACCTGACCGTCAAAAAGCTGGACGGTCAAATGTGCGTGCCTTGCTGTACGCGGGTACGTGTTTCCACCTCCAAAATAAATTGGATCTGTGCATAGCCCAAGGAGACTCTCATTTCCGTCCACATCCCCAATCCGCAAACCTGCCATCAACTCCAACTTCTCATCCCTTCTAATCTCAATTCTCGCCAAGACAGAGACATCGGAGAGCTTAATTTTTATATCGAATCTTTGGACAATCTCACCTTCGACATGTGCACCTTTGGATTAAATTCAGAACGGGAACAACTGACGTCACATTTTCGAGATCGAAAAGCTGATAGTAAATGTGTGACGACTTTTCATTTTTTCTTTACATAGATTTTCATGGGCAACCGTCGAAAAGACGAGATCCAAAGGTCCACAAGTGCATCAACCCCATTCCGCACATAGTACATATAATGGTTTTCTATGTATATATATAATATTGTCTAATGTATAAATCGATACTATGGAAACTTTCACCTCCGACATCTGCACCTGTAGATTAGAATCAGGAATAATTGGCATCACATTTTTCAAATCTAAAAACAGATATTAAATAATTTGAGGACTTTTCATTTCATAATTATGCGGATTTTCATTGACAACCAGATAACGGTTTTATATGTATATATTTATTATCCAAATCTAGGAAAGTATACGTGATCACATCCTAATGAATGCTACGTACCTTTGGGCAGAGTATCTACGCTGTAGAACTCATCGTATGGTTTGCTTCACACGGGTTTCATTTTGCCTTTAAGAACCATGAGGCTAACACATGGTTGATCTTAAGTTGAATCCATAAACTGAACCCAGCTGGTATACTAAATTTATCGACTACAAACTTTCTAGCATTTTATTTGATTATCAAAAAATTATCTTGTTTTGATCATCAACTTATTATAGTATGAAATTTTATACATTGCTAGATCTTTAACTGCGTCGACCGAGTTTTTTGTATCTTCTTTTCAGAATTATGTCATGCAGTTATTGTTATGTTCTATCATTGTTAGTCGAAAAACTAATATGGCATACCATAACCTAATAAAAATTATACTCTCATCAGATGCATAAAATGAAAAAATGATCATGATATA